ATCCTCCAGTAGATATCCTATCCTAGATATAGTATCCTATCCTATATATCGATATAGTATCCTATATCCGATATAGTATCCTATATCCGATATAGTATCCGATATAGTATCCTATCCTATATATCCTATCCTAGATTCAGTAGATATCCTATCCTATCCTCCTATCCTCCTATTATCCACTCCTATCCCCACCTCCAGTAGATAGGAGGATCACTCCTATCTACTGTGTATCTGTGCATGCACAATGGCGTGCGGGCTATGTGTTGCATCGGTGTATTTAACGGTGTTGAAGTGAAGTTATTAGGTCAAATCAAACATTAAGACTATTGCTGGTACTGTAGTAGTAGGCTATTGACAAGTTGTATTTATTAACCATCATTTTATTATTGAAACGGTCCAAGTGCCTGTGCTATAGCCCGCGTACAGTTGCCACTGGCCAGCGGCAACTGTACGCGGGCTATAGTACTACTACTAGAGCTAACTCATGATATAATGATATATATCAGGAGTAGATATAATATCAGGAGTAAGATAATATAGGATAGGGTCTATGTCTCCCAGGGTACTGCCGGAACGTACCCTGGTAACTATTAGGGCTGTAAAGTTACACAAGCCTCTCGATTCGATCCGTATCTCGATATTAGCTTCTCGATTCGATTCCTTCGATTCGATTCCCAAAATATTGAAATGTTATCTTATTTTTAGCTCATCTGACGTAGTCAGATGCAGCTTGTAGAATCGCATGATCGTCCGTGCGTGCGTGCGTCCGTGCGTGCGTGTGTCCATCAACAGTTGGACACAAATCTAAACGGCTCGACGTACGGATTCGAAAGTCGGGACGTGGGGGGGGGGGTAATTCGAAAAACAAGTTGGGATGTTAAAGATGGGGGTCAAAGTTCAAAGGTCAAGAGGTGTAAAAGAAGGGAACATTCCATAGGTTAGGGTTATGAGGTCACAATGCACATAAAACAGGAGTTTCAGGCACGCGATTTGTATCAACCAATGGGATTTGGGAGGTATGCAGAATGCAGAAGGTTGCTGAAATGATGTGTACCCAACTGCGTATCTGCATATCTG